TAGTGGCTAGCATGTACGGCTGCAGACTCTGAGGTCCTGGATTTGAGACCCGGGTCGGGCCAAGTTTAATAACTGAGTTTTTCTGTTAAGACATTCTCAGTAATAGAGTTCTCTGACAATACGTTAAGCCATCGTTTCCGCGCCTTAACTCCCACCGGTCGTGTCGAAGTATCGTCCTGTCGGGATTTGAGTGTAAAAAGGATAGAAAGTGCACTTGTGTCTGCACATACTCTTGTGCACTATAATATCTCCTACGCATCTGGCTGGTCTAAGTTAAATTGGCCACCGTGGCCGAAATCGGTCAAGAGGGAATTATTATTATTATTTATATACATTCGTACTTGATAAAAACAAAGAATTTTAATTATATTTTAAATTTTAATTGAAAAGCATTGATCTACTTTCTGTTCTATTTATGTTCCACAGTTATTTATAATATTTTTATATGAAAATACTACACTAGAGAGAATGTACTACTACTCGTATGTCAAAGCCGCAAGTAATTAAAAACAACTATACATATAGTTGCTATATGCCGGGTACTGCCTCGGTGGTGTAGTGGCTAGCATGTACGGTTGCACACCCGGAGGTCCTGGGTTCGAGTCCCGGGTCGGGCCAAGTTTAGTTATTGAGTCTTCCTGTATAGTAAGTCTCAGTAACAGCCCGGAGTTGGGAAGTTGGCGGTGTTTCACCCTCGTGCCTTGGAGAGCACGTAAAGCCGTCGGTCCTGCACCTTAACTCTCACCGGTCGTGTCGAGTGGTCGTCCCACCGGAGTATGAGAGTGATAGGAATAGAGAGTGCACTTGTGTCTGCGCGTACACTTGAGCACTATAATATCTCCTGCGCAGTTGGCTAATCTCATTGAGATTGGCCGCCGTGGCCGGAATCGGCTAGGAGAACATCATCATCATCACATATGCCGGGTATGCTATATTAATGTCCCGGGTCTCGCATCTCTGATATTTTCATGTACGAATCATTTTCAATGTGATCGTCAGTTGTCTTAACGGTGAAGGAAAACATCGTGAGGAAACCTGCATGTCTGAGAGAACCTAGCAAGTTTTCGAAAGACATGTGAAGTCCACCAACCCGAACTTGGCCAGCGTGGTGGACTGTGGCCTAATCCCCCTCGTACTGAAGGGATGCCCGTGCCCAGCAGTGGGACGTAAAAAATGGCTGAATACATACGTAGCGCCCGTTTGAAAAGTACAATTTACAATATCTGCACACGAGTACCTATATAGATAATAGATATACGACTATTATGTTTAAATAGGCAAAAACAGAACCGTTTGGTACCTTTTTCTCCTTTATTTGTCAACTTTTTTTTCGATTTTTTTAGCTATTGATGAGCTTTATTCTTATCAATAAAAATAATTTTAAACAGTTTTTTACATAACAATTATGCTCCCTTCATTTCGCTCGGGATCGTAACTAGCAGTTTAGAAATGTAAATATGATTTTTTTGTAATTTTCATGGTTATCAATTTTCGCGTTGGAACCCTAAATATTTTCGGTGTAAAACATACCTTATATGTAATCTTATAAACTCCTATATCTTTCAGTGAATGTTCCATTACAATCAGTTACATTATTACCCCGGACAAATAGAAAGACAGACAGACAAATTAAAAAAAGAGTTGAAATCCCAGAAAAACTCCTAAATTATATATATATATATAATTTATATATATATATATATATGTTTATATATATATATATATATATATATATATATATATATATATATATATATATATGTTTAGATTTAAGATATTAGAGCTTGAGTGAATGTGAGTTAGTTATAAAACAACTCAACGGTCGGTTTTTTTCCACTTCAATTAAAGTAGTTACTACTTCTGACGTTAAAGACAGAATAAAATATCGGAATAAGAAATCCCCTATAGCATTCGCCATGGAAATGTAAGCTACATTTACCCCTACATAGCCACCTATTTGTGAAAGAATTTTCAGAATCGGATAAATTGTATTAAAAATTTTACCCTAAATTCAAACTTACAAGAATTATATCTCTATATTATTAACTAGGTCGAGTTCCCATACAAACTTTCATCCCTATTTTGATCCCCTTAAGGGATGATTTCTGGGATAAAAGGTATCCCATGTCCTACCCAGGATCTCAAACTATCTTCTCACCAAAATTTCATATAAATCGGTTCTGTAGATCCAGAGATTACCCCCTACAACGTCACAAACTCACTAACTTTACCTCTTTATAATATTACTATAGATTTAGATTTGTATTGACTTTTAATAAGTACATACATACTTAATCAATATGACTGGCCTACTTTATAAATTGAAAATAGATGGTAATAAATATATAAAAAACTACCAGTCTGCGTCGGCTTCAGTTGGCTTTTTTACGGCTACGTGATATTTTATTATCGTAAGCTTTTAAAATGTCAGCCTTTTAGATCCAGTGGTTTGATCTGGCCTGAATTAGTCAGAGCAAACAATTCTGTACATATCTATAGATATAATATGAAAATATAAATGGCTAGATCAATTGCTTGATATTATTTTTTTACTATAATCCATATCCATACTACGATTATAAATGTTAGTGAGGATGGATAGATGGATGAATGGATGTTTGTTACTCTTTCACACCAGAACGACTGAACGGACCTGGATGAAATTTAGCACAGATATAGATTATAGTCTGGAATAGCACATAGGTTACTTTTCTCCCGGAAAATGTACAGTTCCCGTGGGATAGATTTGTTTTTGTCCAGGGACAAACCCGAAGAGAAGCGAGGGTGGGGTCTCTAGTATATTATTATATAACGTCATCGTAACCTACTAATTTATTTAGTGTATTTTAATAGACCTAATAAAAAGAGATACAGTTATGGTCGATAAATCATTAATTTTACCAATTCAAAATCAGATCGTGTCCCTTGTCTATTCTATATTCATTATTCCTCACTATATTTCATCAGATACTCGTTATCGACGGGTCGGCTCGCGATAATTAATGAAAGCTATTAATGTCAATTAGTAGTAAATCTGATAATGCCTGATATAATTTAAAAATTATTAAAAAATGGGGTTATGAGATTATTCTTTTAATCTATGTACAAATTACTATAGTACTATAATAAATATATGTGAAAACTCTTATGAATGTTTTATCTAAAATAATTCGGAGCTTCTATCTATATTTTAAATATTCATAAGTGCTGATAAGTGTTCGGCAACCCAGTCGCAGGTAAAACCAAGAAACACACTGAGAGTGTTTCTTGGCCTACTTTAGTGGATGGTGTACCATGTGGATTATTTCTCATACTTCTCTGAAAGGAGAGTGAACCCTTTGAACAACCATGGTTGTTGTGGTTAGCCTCAACAGGTTAGCTGTCGGGGCGACGTAATTTAGTACGTAAGCGATCCCCATGAAGGATTATTAGGTTTTAGTGGGTAGTACTGGCTTTTCTAGCCGGTGAGTCCAACATAACCCCCTGTATATATTCAGGTGAATGCATTCCCAACGTTAAAAAAAATGCCAAATTTATCTGTGTAAAGAGTAACAAACACACGCTTTTACACTACACACATTATCGAAACGTAGTTCATAATATCTACGTTAATAGTTAAGGGTTCGATTCCCACATGTGGAAAATACAGATATACAGATTGTTATACCGGCTTAACTAGAATAAAAGCAAGACTCAAGTGCCCTTGTTAAATAACAACTTTTCTTTTTTTTTCTACCGCAAAAGAGTGTGTAATAATAATAAAAAAAGTTAATATAGCAAAAACTCAAGCAACCAAAAAGAAATCTTACCTTTGCTATTGATGTCTTAGTAAAAAAGATAAGGACGTAACTGCGTTAGTAAAAGAAAGATATATATACCTAAGAGAAGGAAAGAAAGTTGTCTTAAAGGCAGCCTTCCGAATCAAACGCTTCATTACTTTCAATGAATTTTAATGATTCTATAAAGCGAAGGACCGTTATATTACTTCTGCTTTTATTTTAGAATTGGCCCAATTTTCGTTAAGTTTAGATATTAGAATTGTTTTAGATCACTAATACATAGTATAATTAATTTTATTGTTCAACAATTATCATACAAGTTAATGGTGTTAACTGACTTTGCCTTTCACGCCTTATGCATAGGCTTTATATTATGACGACACGTTTGGCTCAGTTTGTAGTGACCCTACTTGCTGCGCCAGCGGTCGCGAGTTCGAGTCCCGCTGGGGGAATTCGTTTGTGTGATGAGCACGAATGTTTGTACTCCAGTCATGGGTGTTTATAATTATAATATGTATGTATTTAAAGTTATATATGTATAATGTATCAACTATCTGGTATCCATAACACAAACCTCGTAGCTTACCGTGGAACTAGATGGCGTTGTGTGTTAATGTCCTGACATATTTATCCTGACATATTTAAAATTTCACTCTAATTGGTCAACGCAAAAAGAAGACTAAAGAAAACTTTAAACCGTCATTTTTACGTCTATTCTCAACTGTTTATAATAGAATATCAACTTATGTAAGGGGCTGGTTTAATAAATAAAATATAGGTAATTAAAGATAAATTTTATTTTCATATATTAGCAACTTACCCACGCTTCATTTGGGTGTCCCTAGGTACGTTTTAGTTGTTTAGAGCGGGTATATATATATATATATATATATATATATATATATATATATAACCCTAAATTACTGAGCTATCTGCCAGCGAACGTTCTGTTAAAATCTATCAGATCCGACTAACGGACAAATAATAATTTTTAAAAACTGTGTTTTTATATTAGTGAGATTTACAACCCCCATATAGCCTGTTTATTAAAAGTTTTTACTTAAAATACGCTTCTTTTTTTTCAGAATGCACAAACTACGGACTATTCTTCTACCTCAAGGAAGCTAGCGAGCTATACTGTAATAATGACTATAAATTTAAGTGTGACGAAATGTGACCAAGTTTCGCAAATGTGACGTTCACTAAATTTAGTGCCAAACAATGTTTTGCTGTAAAGAACTTAAATTACTCTACGCTACTGTTGTTCTATTACTTGAAGCGGAATTATTAGTGAACACAGGTGCTATGGAGTCGAAAAGGTCTTCCATTTTGGTCGCGCAAAACTCTGACGATTTAAAATCCTTAGAATTGTGCACGACAAGAAATCAACAAAGATTGGGCAGTGTTTTTGGTAACTTCACTCGTCATCATAAGAAAGGTAATTAAAAACATTAATAATTAGGCTACCTTATGTAACTATTATAAATTACCATTTAAACTGCTGCACTTTCATAAAATATATTATTATACATATATATTCAGATATCCTGTGCAAGTACGGTTAAAATAATCTTTCTTTCGCAATTACTTAAATTAATCCCTTGTTAATATTATTTACCAGATATGTTATTATAATGTATAATTATTTCAATAATTTCTCTTATATTTATTGCGATAATAAATTGCAGGTCATAGAAGAAGAACGACAACAACATCGTCAACCCAAACAACAATAATTTATACTACAACTGACAATGATCCAGAATCCACTGAATCTTTCACTACCAGTGCCTATAATATTAGCACTACATATCCTAAACTACCTAAACCCCTACATTTATCATTTAAATTAAATAAAAACTTGAGTGATGATGTACATAATATAGATATAGAAGCAGCTAGAGAATTAAGCCATGAGAGACATCATACAAAACATCATGAGAGATTACAAGAAGAGGTTATATCAGAATTAGATGAATCTTCACTATCTAAGTCCTTAAATAAAGTTAAGAAAATGTACAGAGATTCAACTGCTTCAGCAGTTAATAAGTTAAGTGGGAAAGGTATTAAAAATGGTATTTTTTTGACTGACAATTGTACCACTGTTATAGCTCAAATAGGGACGACGGCAATACTACATTGTGAAGTTAGTGACATTACAGAAAATACGGTAAGTTCATTTAAAAATAAAGATAATTATTTAATTTATGATAACTCAACGAATTTCACGGAGTTATAATTTTCTTATTATATCCAATCTAAGATAAATAGTTGCGTAATAACTATTGATAAAAATTTAAAAAACCCCTATGCAAATTAAATGTCATTTAACGATTACACTGGCACACGTGAAGCACTTAATCGAGTAATCATACGCCAAAATGCCTTACATCATTTTGGAAAAGAGCTGATACTCTTACATTGCTGAACCGACACTAACCAAACATAGCTAAGAACTACCGCAAGGAAACTGGCTTTCAAATAAAAAAAAACCAGTATTGAAATCAATCCATCCGTTTGAGAGCTACGATTCCACAGACAGACAGACAGACATCGACGTCAAACTTATAACACCTTTTTGCGTCGGGGCTTAAAAAGCAGTAATCAAAAATCAACGTATCTTAGTATTCAGAAAATACTTTTTTTATATAGTTATTGATTAAACTAAATATCCTTCCAAATTAATAAACTTTTGTATGGGCATGGCTTTTGTTAGCACGAGTTTAGTCTATATTAAAGCGAGAATAGTACGAGTAGAGTAAAAGACGAGAGCTAGGTGATAAAAATGTTTACTGTAAAGAAAATTTTTTTTACGATTAAGTAATTATGAAGTTGCCTAATAGTAAAATTGGTAGACCAATTTAGTAAAACTTAGCATTCGGATGCACATAATGTGGTATAATTTCCTCAAAACAAAAAGAATATGAAGGCCTTTGAATAGAAATAAAATAAAATACTTTCATTTGAAATCAAATACATAAAATTTACATACTCATGGACTTGAATTTTGAAACAAATTAGTCATCTTTAAATTTTCTGCTATTATCGTATGAAATAATGCAAATTTTTCAAAAATATTAATAAAATGATACCTATAGTCTAGAGATGCATAAAACCCCTTCTTCCTATGATATATACTTTTGCTGACAAGCCCGAGACAAGCCAAGTGTATGCTTACTAATTATAGTGTATGCCTTTATGAACGGTAGTCCAAAGAAATGATATAATAGATCCTTAAAATATAACTACTCCAGGTAAATTTCTAAGAAATTAATTAAGCTTCTAAGCAATTAATTAAATTTCTAAGAAATCTATCGTTAACTGTAACGCCGGCGTGTCCGCGGTCGTGGAGGGATTAATCGTCAAATCTATAGGGTACTTAAAACGTGCTATATCCCTAAAACTTATACTATGCCCAAGTAAACATTGGCTTATTATAATGTATCAAACCTATCATTGAAATTAAGTACTAAAACATATGTAAACTGTGATACTTAGAATACTATTAAGCTTTTACTTTGAATTAAAATTTTCTTGGTCTTAGTTCTATTAGAGAATCCGTCTTGAAAAGTTTTTAGGGAGTTTTGAAATATTCTTGTAGATATTGACCTGGTAGCTGAGTCAAGATATTTATACTAATATTATAAAGAGATAAAGTCACAAGATTTTGTGAGGTTGTGGCGTTGTAGGGGGTAATATCTAGATCTATTGAACCGATTTAGATGAAATTTAGTAAAAAGATAGTTTGAGACCCTGGGAAGGACATAGGATACTTTTTATCCCGGAAATCATCCCTTAAAGGTATGAAAATGGAGATGAAAGTTTATATTTAGAATCAATCTATCCCGAGCTTACCAAACCCGAGCGAGGCGTGGGTGAGTCGCTAGTTATTCTATAATAGTTGAAGAATAAGTGTGTAAAAACATATTATGAGAACGATATCTTACGATTCTATCAATTTTCTTACATAAGCCTCTTGTTTTTCTACCGTTTTCACTCAATCAATTAGTGTCTTTATAGCTCAGGTTATAATATTCGAAAGTTTGAGCCTAAAAATATTTTTATGGCAATATATTATAATATTAATTTTATATTGATTCTAATAACTATTGTGATAAATCGATATAGTAAAATTATATTTAGCTTATTACTATTATAATCAATTGATTGAATCGCTATACACAGCATTTTTTATATAATAATAATCTTATAAGAAAAGTGATCTATACATATAATAAAATTGTAACCAAGCCGAATCTGTACATTACATATTTTTTGGAAAATCTTATTGAAATAGACATTATTATCGATACAGAGGCCAAATCTATAGTTTTTAGAATTTTTGTCTGTCTGTTACCGCATCACGAAAAAACCACTGGACAGATTTTGATGGAACTTGGTATGGTGATAGGCTGGTTATCCGAGTCAACATTTAGGATACTTTTTACCGTGGGAAAATGAGTCATTTCTGAGAAAAAGTACAAAAACTGAAATGTAAGAGTAGTTTTGGTCATCTGGACGAGGGCGGAGCCGCGGGCAATGCTAGTTAAATATAAAATATATATATATATATATATATAAGTATATGAAGTAATTAAGCTCAAAGAAAAATATTTTATATGAAATTCTGAGTTACATAATATAGTGTCTGAGCTTCAAATATCTAAAACTTTATTAATTTAGACTCGGCACCTGAAATATTACGTATCCTATTTCATTTCTAATAAGTTAATTAAATTAAATTAGTGAGAATTAAGAAAATACTTTGCCTCCTAATTTTACTTAAAACACGTCAAATCTCTAAAATAACTTTGTATTAAAAATATTTTTGTCTAAAAACTTCCTATGAAATGGAAAATGTATTGATTCAAATCTGTCTTCAGTATAAAATTTTCTCCCTTTTTTGAAGCCGGTTAAAGAACTCTTGAGCTTTATCTATATATAAATAGGCAAAGATAAAACAGCTCAGTACCTGTTTCTCCTATGTTTGTTAACAATTTTTTTTTATGTTTAGTAGTTATTGACGAGTTTTAGTAATATCGATATAAACATTTTGGATTTTTCTTATATAGATAGGTAAAGGCAAAACGTAATAAGTATTATTATTTATGAATATTAAAAATGGTTATGGTCGAATTTCAAGCACTAGATTATAAACATTAAATAATATAATAATAATAAAATTAAATAGACCACCTAAGAAGCAAACCTGTAAGGTTTGGTGTATTTGGCGCTTTGCCAGACCCTGTCAAGTTAATACGATATATAATGATAAATAAAACATACTACAAACTCGCTTACGGATGTGCAAATACTATTATCACAGATAACATTATGGTATTCACTTGGCACCATTGTATTTGCGATTTGTATGAAATTTCTAACATTTTCTACTGATTTCAATGAATGGTGTATATTTAACCGACTTTCAAAAAAGGATTTATGGTTTTTAATACGAAATTCTTTATACGTTGCGGTGTACTTAGCTATATAATTGTATCTAATCCTAGTGACTCACTCTTGATTTGTTGGTTCACTATTCAAACTTCCATCCCCATTTATCATCCCTTGTAGGGATGGTTTCCGAAATAAAAAATATTCTTATCCTTTCCAGGGTCCAAACTATCTTTTCACCAAATTTAATCTAAATCAGTTCAGTAGTTTTTGAGTTTATTCGATACAAACGTACAACGATACCAAAATACAAATCTTTCCTTTTTATAATATCAGTGTAGATATAATACATATTGTATTTGTGGTCTAAAGATCTTTATTTTATTAACCGACTTCAAAAAAAGGAGGAGGTTCTCAATTCGTCGGGGACTTTTTTTTATGTATGTTCCCCGATTACTCGACAATGGCTAGACCGATTTGTAAAATTCTTTTTTTGTTTGAAAGGATATAGTTTCTAGTTGGTCCCATAGTCACCAAGTCACGATCTGATGATGGGATCCCAGGGAAATCGAAGGCAACTCTCAAATTTTATAGGCACTTATTACGTTTTGCATATATTTCCTAAAGCTGTTCAAGTATTTGCGTCTGATAATCATCATCTCCTATGGTTGAGCTAATGATGGAAGGTACAACTCCTCAACGGTTAGGAGTTAAAAGAAAATTCTTTCAATATTATACGTAATTATAGACCGATAGTTAAATTCTTTCAGACTCTTATTAACCGACTTCAAAAAAAGGACGAGGTTCTCAATTCGTTGGGGACTTTTTTTTATGTATGTTCCCCATTACTCGAAGATGGCTGGACCGATTTGGAAAATTCTTTTTTTGTTTGAAAGGGTATAGTTTCCACGTAGTCACATAGTCACCAAGTCACGATCTGATGATGGGATCTCAGGGAAATCGAAGGCAAATCTCAAATTTTATAGGCACTTATTACGTTTTTCATATATTTTTGTGTTGTTTGAAAATGTATACTTCCAGATTGGTCCCACTTAAATTTCAAAAAAAAAGCCACCCTTAAGGGTGGAAAAATAGCTAATGATGCATTTAACCTACTTCTAATTGTAATATTGACTTGAAACTTTGCAAGTGTTTCTATTTCCGTTGATAGTACAGTGGTTCGGTATTGTTGACCTGATCTGATGGTAAGGCCAGAAGGTGGATAGGTGGAACTCTTCAACGGCTAATAGTAGATACTTTGAGTTTGGGCTTATTTTGTTTGATTTGACAAGTCTAACACGTTAGAATTCTGACTTTGCTACTACTGTCTACACTAAAAAGGGAAAAATAAAAACTTTTTAACAAAAAATAAAAACCGACTTCAAACAAAAGCACTAAAAAGTAAAAAATAACTGATTGGTAGTTTTCATTTACTATACATACCTAATCAAATATTATCGAAGTCGGTGTGCTATTTTGGCTTTGGCTTTGGCTAAATAATTAAAGCCCACCTATTAAATACATACCTAATCAAATATTTTCGAAATCGGTGTCAGTCCATACAAAGCAAAGCACACCGACTTCGACAATATTTGATTAGGTATGTATAGTAAATGAAAACTACCAATCAGTTATTTTTTACTTTTTAGTGCTTTTGTTTGAAGTCAGTTTTTATTTTTTGTTAAAAAGTTTTTTCATTAATAATATTATAGTAATTTAGACGACACGTTTGACTCAGTTTGTAGTAACCCTACTTTCTGTGCCAGCGGTCGCGGGTTCGAATCAAGCTGCGGGCATTCATTTGTGTGATTAGCATGAATGTTTGTACTTCAGTCATGGGTGTTTATATTTATAATATGTATGTATTTAAAGTTATATATGTGTAGTGTATCAACTATTTGGTATCGATAACACAAGCCTCGTAGCTTATCATGGAACTAGATGGTGCTGTGTGCTAATGTCCCAACATATATAAATAGTAATTAATGCTGACCATTGACCATCAAAGCTAATTGTATAATTATTTGCCACTTCTGTAGCATATAAAAGTGTAAATCATAATATTTTCTTACATTTACTCGAACGATTCGTCATTTGAAATAAAAGTTCTTCGTTTCGAATGCTTTACAGCAAACATGGTCACGGGAGTCTCCTGTGACCATATTCGAAGACAAAACCGCGAAAACGCCGAAAAAAAATATAGCTATTTAAAACGTAAATCGATGTTATTTCAATACAAACTTACATAGTAGTTTCTTACAAAATTTTATCTGTAACTTTTTTTTAAAGATTATAAATCTTCCAGGTGACGTGGATAAGGCGGAAAGATTACTCGCTGCTATCAGTGGGCCTCGTTACTTATAGTGCAGACAGCAGGTTCTTTTCCGCCCATGGAAGACATGTCAAGGTAACTAACTGTACGAAGCTCTTATTTAGTGTTTCAAATTAAATTATAACTTTATTCGTGCTGTTATATGGTAAGTTATATGGATGTGGTTATTGGTAGTTATATGAATTTGATATTCTCAAAGGGTAATAAGCATTATCTATGTACTTAAATAAATTCAAACTAATATTATAAATGTGAAAGTGTGTTTGTTTGTCCTTTTTTTTATACGGGATGAAATCTTTAGCTATTTTTGTTCTGGTACACCAAAGAAGTATGACTTCTTATGTGTACATAATACATAAATACACACAAACACGTTTTTTTTACTTGATTAGTGTTTAAAGCCTAAGTGAAGTGGTACAGAGGAGGTCTATATAATTATTTACTGAATTTTAATTAACATCCATTCAAAGTTGTTGATAAAATAACAATACAACTATTAGTCGTTAAATCGACTAAGTTAAATATTCAAGTACCAAATAGATATGAAAAGTTTCTACCTTCATGAATTGTTTAGAATTGAAAATGTTATTATAATGCCACTTAAATAGATCTATTTTGCTGTTTTAAAATAATTATTTATGAATTCAAAGTGTTTTATGAAATACAAATAACATTTATTTAAGAAAGTAGTTACAAAGTAAAGACGTAATTGCTATTTGAACGTTAAATATATTTTAAATAATTACTAGCGACTCACCCTCGCTCCGCTCGGGTTCGTCCCTGGGGTGGGGTCTGGAGGACCACCCTTATCCTTATCACTTAGGGGTATGGAAAATAGATAGTAGCCGATTCTTAGACCTACTGAATACGCATATAAAATTTGGTAAAAATCGGTAAAGCCGTTTCGGAGGAGTACGGTAACTAACATTGTGACATGGAAATTTTATATATTAGAAGATTATATGAAAGATATGAAAAGTGTAGTCTAATAAAGTTTTTTAATATTTTTTAAAGATTGCTTGTTTTGTCCAATATTCCGAGAAAATTGAATTTTATATGCGTAAATCATTTATTTGTGTCCTATTAAAAAAAGTTTTGTAGTAAAAATATTTGTACCTATGGTAGAACGTATTCGATTCCTGCGAGAGACAAATTTCCTGTTAACAGAAAACCGTTAGATAAGTAAGTTGTATGATGGAATCGTTACGATAAGCCAAACAGAAATAAATTTTTGCACAACCCTAGTCCAATCTAAACTATAAATTTTACAACTCGATCTAAATTTGACTTACGATTTTACAATATAACTGTTACTATCTAAGTATAAATTAGAAACCAATAGTGTTATAATTATTGACGGTTAGTATACCTAGATTTCTCAGAGATGAGATATTTTCCCGTAGTAAAAAGTATCATAAATGTTGACCCGGACAACCACCTATCACCATACTAAATCTCATCAAAACCAGTCCAGTGGTTTTTTCGTGATGCGTTCCCAGACAGATAGACTGACAGACAGACAAAAATTCTAAAAACTATAGATTCGGCCTCTGTATCGATAATAATGTTTATTTCAATAAGATTTTTCAAAAAATATTTAATGTACAGATTCGGCTTAGTTACATTTTTATTATAATAATGTATAGATATGTACACAATATTCGTAGCTTATATATTTTTTTACTTTTTATTAGATGTACATAAATAAATAAAATTTAAAGTATTGTTAGTGGCTGGCAATAGCCCACTGTTATGGTCTATGATGTTCGATTATATTTAGAAACAACGAACAACAACACAAAAGTATCAGTTTGACAGCTTTTGTTGGTATCAAATGTTATGATCTTTTGAATTTTCGTTGATATGCATCAGTTTTAAACTTATTTTTCATATAGTAGGACCTTTTTGTTAAATATTTCTTTTGATTAATGAAAATGTAGCAGCAAACCCTTTTCGAATGGCCTTCCAAAGTATATTTTAAATTAAATCAAATAAAACCCGGGAGAATATTGAGTCTTCGTTTTTCTATATCATTTGTTGGGTTATAAATTCGTATAAGCATTTAATTATTTCCATACAAACCTAGGATGGATTAAAACCATATTGAAAATATGTAAATTAATTGCGATATGTCTATATTTTACCCAGTGGACTCATTTACTAAACCCCTATTTTATCCGTTGGGATTTAATAACCGCAACTTTATAGCTATAAGTCATGTGGTAACGTTTTAGATTAGATTATTTTATTAATATTTTTATATACGTATATAGGCGACCACGCACAGAAAATTCCGGATGAAATTAACTTATTTTTTGTATTACTAGCGACTCTCCCTTGCTTCGCTCGGGTTCGTCCCTAGCTTGATTCCCCGTACAAACTTTCATCCCCATTTTCACCCCCTTAAGAGATGGTTTCTGGGATAAAAAGTATCCTATGTCTTTTCTCAGGGTCTCAAACTATCTTCTTACCAAATTTCATCTAAATCGGTTCAGTAGATCCAGAGCTCCTACAACGTCACAAACTCAACCTTTTTATAATATTATTAGTATTATATATATTATGATAAGGCCGCCTTTGCACATTTCTTAAGTTGTATTTTTTTGTTAATATACCATTTTCGTGTGCAATAAAATGATATAAAAAAAAATTACTACTATTCTATAGTGTATTTAACTGCTTTGTTCTTAGGACTGGGCGCTACATATCCGCTTCGCTACGTCAGCGGACGCCGGATACTACGAGTGTCAAGTCCCCACACATCCACCTACGAGTATATTTTTTAAGTTAGTTCTTGTTGGTGAGTATCTGTATAATTGTACTATTTATTTGTTAGTTATTTCTACACAATATATGTATAATATGTATGAGATATAACAAAATTATAAGCCATGGAGGATAAAGAAAAGCTTTTTTTAGGGTTCCGTACCCGAGTGTGCCAACGGAACCCTATTACTAAGCCTCCGCTGTCCGTCCGTTTGTCCGTCTGTCAGAGGGTTGTATCTCGTGAACCGTAATATATATTATATATCATATAATATATAGTCTACCTATTCCATACTAACCGTTAAAACTTATGTAGGGACGAGCTCAAGCGAACCAAGGGCGAATCATTAATCATTATTAAAACTAAACTTACCTACGTCTTAACATACCAGTAAAGGTATTTTACGATGCTCTACATCCACTGTCTCAAAATCAGTAGGTACATTTTTTGCTTTTGGTTTGGTATGTTTTTGTACGCAGTTTGGTGCGGGTATTTAGGTGGCTCAAAAACTTCCATATACTAAAATATATTTTTTTACTGTGATCAGTATAATTTTGTTAAATCGTATGCTTTGCCAAACCATCCATATTATAAAGTGTCAATATTTTAAAGCCATCGGTGTATAATTTCTTAGATTTGTGGGTTGCACAAACGAACGATAACATTTTTTTATTTATATAGATTATTTAAATGCGAAATGATGTACATTATTTTCATTCCTGTAAAGATATATTTTATACTATTAAATTTAATTTATTATATTTTCAACAGCGGCCTACGCGGAGATCGTTGGTGAATCTGAAAAGATCATCCACGAAGGGTCGATGCTAAAGCTAGTGTGCTTCGTTAAGAGGTCTACAGAACCACCTTCCTACGTGTTCTGGTACTTTGAAAATCGGATGATTAACTATGATCTTAGTGAGTATATTAATACTTGTCTAACTTTAAAATAAAAAGTCTTTAATTCAGTTATTTTTATATATTAGAATATATTATATAAGAAGTTTATATTTTAATGTCTTTGCCATTTACGAACACGTGGTACTGAAACATCACCCTTTAATTTTCTTAAAATATTCTTCATTCGGCTTATCTATTTATATATTATTTCTACAAATATCCATTAAAATTACCTATTTTAACAAAAGAGCGCGTTTAAATATACTTATTTTTTGTGGTTACGAAACAAAATCATCAATTAGTTACTTTCATACTCTATATCTTACTCCAGGTCTATTTGTGTAGTAAATTTTATCTAAATCTGTCCAGCCGTTTTTCACTGCCATTTACTATTATCACATTTATTTCATGAATATAATATTTAAATAAACACTTTGATATAGAAAAAATAGACGTAGAGTTGAGAAATATAGAGTAGGAGCTTTGTATTTCATTAGTTAAAAACGGGAAACAACCAATGCTTTTATAGGCTCATGAAGCTTTCTACTTTCATTGATCTAAGTAATAAAGCACGTTTCGCTGTAAAAACTGTGTCAGAGTTACTTGAGAGTGGCCACTTAACAACAGATTGTGAACATTTGTCATTTGGACAAAAAATCTATCGTTTTAATGTAAACGAATTGCAAAATTCTTAAACGAAAATATATTTCCATAAATAATCTATACAGATAAATAAAATTAAAGTGTATTTGTAATTTCAAAATGGCAGCTTTTCTCTAAATGCATATGAAATAATTATATGCGGTACTAATAAGAAAAATAAAATTTTTGTCTGTCTATCTGTTTGTCTATTTGTTCCTGCTAATCTCCAAAACGGCTGGGCTGATTTTGACGAGACTTTCACCGACAGATATATGATGTTATAAGGAGTACCTTAGGCTACTTTAATTTAAGAAAAAGAATTAGGGTCCCGCTCAAAAAAATTAAAACCGAACCCCAGCGAAGCAAGGATAACTAATATATAATGTAGTTAATCAGAAAACTTAAAATATGTAAGGTTTTGTTTTATTAATATGTAGATTTTCCTCAGTAATTTTATACCATTGAATGGATATAATTTATAGATTTTAGAATTATAATACACTACAAAACTTTAAAGTTATTGTTTAACTGAATTAATGTAAATTTTTTTATGAAAGCTGTGAAAGCTTGTTATTTTAAACTATAAATGTGAAATATATATTACCCGTTACGGGCTTTTTTATTAACTTTATGATTAACGTATAGGTACCTAATATCTATAAAATAAATTATATTGCTAACTAGCGACTTCCACGGATTTTGTTTACAATTTCATGAGCTTTAATTTTTTTGCTCGGAAACCTATTTTTTTTAATTAAAAGTAGCCAAATTTCTCCTTATAACATAAAATATCTGCCAGTGAAAGTCCCGTCAAGTTCGGAGATTAGCCGCTACAAACAGACACACAGACAGACAAAAAAAAATAAAAATTGATTTTTTCTTATTAGTACCGTTTATACATGCATTCGGTAAAAAGTTGTTATATTGAAATTACAAACAGACACTTCAGTTTTATTTAACTGTATAGACGTTATTTTGGGATTGTAGGATATTAAGAATTTTCATCATTGGTTATCATCATTATAAACTCGACCTTAATTTATTGACTTCATATTAAAAATCTAACAAAAGCTCCATTGCTAATAAGAGATATGAATATAAAAAGAAATGCTAAAAGTCATTCCGAGCTTATGAATCGGAACTATAGAACCAGAACATCGCTTTTAAAGAACATCACATAAAAGCTTATTAAAGTGTAGATAATAAAATCATTATTTATTAGTCAGCCCTTTTAAAAGTTCCATTTTTAGACTTAGTCTCTCCTTAATTAAAGGGAGATCAGACCATATTCCACCACGATGGTCAATATGGGTTGGCGGACTTCACTTGTCTTTCAAAAACTAGTTAAGTTCTCTCAAACATATAGGTTTTTTCACCATTTCCTTTACTGTTAAGAAGCGATATGTTGATATTTTTTTGTCCTTTGATATTTTTTTGTCTGAATCATTTTTGATTCAGACAAAAAAATATCAAAGGTGCGAAGAAATCCGGGATTTGAACGCGTTACCACTGGCCACTACTGCCATATAATATTGACCGATTTTGGCCTAGGTGGCCAAAATCACTGGGACTAGCCATCTACACAGGAAATTAATAATTAACTAGGCCCAACCCGAGACTCGAACCCAGGATCGTCCGAAACTGCAGACGTGCATACAGTCACAACCAAGGCAGTTGCACATAATATGTAGTTAATAAAAATACTTAGTACTTTCTTATATTTACGCGAATGTTTGATATTTTGAATAAAACTATCTTTTCGGATTTTTGTTAGATTTTTGGTTCCCGAGACGTTCCGAATGCTTTACAGCAATCATGGTCACGGGAGAGACTGAGGTGTTAGATGTCTCAAAGCATTACACAGCTGTTACAGACAGCCCATCCACAAATAACAAAACGAATAAAAAAAATTGATCAATATAGTGGAAATTGGAATAATGTATGCAAAAATAAATCAGGACTTTATAACATTATTAAATTGTATGTAATGACAAAGTAAAAGTGAGTTTCAAATCCTTCGAAGGAAAAATAAAACTTATCTAGAACTGGGTTATTGTTATAAGTTTAAACGAACAGAAATTCTACATTAGATTACTCTATCTAGATATTATCTATAAATTTAAAAACTAACGATGTACCCTGACTCCGCTTATGTGCATCATGAAGCAACTCGACGGCCTGTTTTTACCGACTTCAATTAAAGTAATTATGATTTCTGACAGTAAACATATTTTTATTGGTAGGTATAAAAAATATCTTATATCACGCATCAGTAATATAGCGTTCTATTAGTGAAAGAATTATTAGAATCGGGTCAGTGGTTTAAGAGTTCGTCGATTTAGCGCTTATTTGTTTTAACGACCAATATTTGTTGTACTTGTACTGTACAGTAGAAAGTTATTTTTTTATGTTTTAAAAATAAAGCTTTATTTATAAGAGTTATATACATTATAGATAAAATATATATTTTTGGCTTTATTAAAGTAAAATGTGTTTTTATTTCATTGACGAGTTTTGTATATCAATGATTTAATACCAATATAATTGATATTTAAAAGTCAATAATTTTGTATTAAAAACTTTTTTGGTAAGTTGGTCGTTTGGAAAAATAAGCACTGAGACGACAAGATTACAAACTTTATATCTTTATAATATTAGTGTAGATAATTGTAAGTTTCTATGTAACTTCTTATTATTAATATTAATAATTGATTTATCTGACTGCAAAGATTCTTGAGTTTTGTGGTTATGTGATAATATTTCTCGATGTGTATTATGAGAGCAAAATTAGAATCCATATAATTTAGTCATGTTTGTCTGTCCGTATGACACAGGTTTGGTGTCTTATGTAAACTGCCATACAATAATAAAAATTAAAAAAGGTGAAAAAAATTAAGTCCACCCAGTATGGAACCTTTAGATAGTTGGTGAATTATGTTTCCAAAAATCTAAACATTGCATATAAAAATATAGGAAAAACTTTACTTTTAACTGGTTTATGTAAACGTTGTTATTATCACTTATAAAAAAATATGAGATGGGGTAAGTATGAAAAATAATAATTGATTGATTCCTCTTGAATTTTTTTACTACGTCGGTTTAGTGTAAAATATTTATCTATATTAATCTATTTTAATTAGTATAATCTGTACCAAATACGAGCTCTTAACTGGTATTTTATTTGTATTTAAATTTCATAACATCCATTAAACGTTGAAGCGGTCATTAACTCTATTATTAAGCGATTAAAGAGTATGTAGTTCACATAATACGAGTACTTTCTTATATTTACGTGAATATTTGACACTTTAAATAAACTTATATTTTCGGATTTTTTCGCGGATTTGTTTTAGACATCTAAAACCTTAGTGTCTCCCGTGACCATGATTGCTATAAAGCATTCGAATCGTCATCGTCGGGAACCAAAAATCAAAATAAATCCGCGAAAAAATCCGAAAAGATAATTTTATTTAAAGAGTAGGTATGTAGTTCATTTTTATCCCTTCAGTAAAAATTGTTGATTATCCAATTTTGTTTGTATGAACAACTAACCCTCCTTTTACTTGGGTGGGTTTTTGCCATACATTTTATTGCTTTATTCCAAACCGTTTATCCGATAAAGAAACTCAATGACAATTTTTTTATGATAATACTTTCTTAGATTTACGCGAATATTTGACATTTAAAAAAATCTTTTCGGATTATTTCGCGGATTTATTTTAAGTTTTGGATCCCGAAGTTTCGAATGCTTTACGGCAATCATGGTCACGAGAGAGACTGAGGTGTTAGATGTCTCGAACGAATCTAAATAATAATCTAAAAAATTAAAATAATTCGAAAAGATAGTTTAAAAAAAATATGACTTTAATTAAAGTTATTATTATCTCAGATACTTTTATCAGCATAAATAATATAATAGCACTCGATAGTAATGTAGCTCTCATTAATGAATGTTCAACGTTCTTTGTTCTGTGGCTTATTTATATTTATTATGTTAATTTTATTATATTCATTAATGGGGCCGCCCATTAATGAAAGAATTTTCGAAATTGGATCATTACTTTCAGAGATTACCCTCTACATACAAACTTACAAACATACCTCTTTATATTATTAGTACTTTCTATAAGGCTTATACCAATTGATTGAAGTCAATATACTATTTGCTTTACCTATTATCCTCCATTTTTAATCGACTAGCGACTCATCCTCGTTTCTCTTCGGGTTCTTCCCTAGACAAAAACAAATCTATCCCACGGGAACCGTATTTTTGTCCGGGATAAAAGTAACCTATGTACTATTCCAGACTATCTATCTCTTAATAAAATTTACTCGTTACTCAAAATCAATTTAAAATTAAAGTATGGTTCCCGACG